ATGAAGAAGAAGGAAAAGAACACCACACTGAGGAGGATGAAAATGAGCGGCCACAACATGATGAAGTTATGACTGTAGAGAGCGGAGAAACACATGAAAGTGGTGACAAATTGCATGATGATGAACAGCAAGAAGAAGAAGAAGAAGAAGAAGAGGAAGATGAAGACGAGAACGACAATGTGAGAGAAGATGAAGCTGCAGATAAGGATACTGAAGATGAACAGGCAGCTCAAACGGAAGAAGGGAAAATGGTGGGCAAAGCAGTGCAGCTACCCACAAGGAGGTCAAGTAGACGTAAAGTCCCAGCAGTTAAATCTCCTTACATGTCTACTTATGGCAGAAAGGTGAAAATGAGTGAGAGGGATGCATTTTATACTGTGTGTACTGAGTGGTGTCAACCAGATGAGGCTCAAGAGTAAGTATAGTCAGTTATTATGGAAAAGACAGCCTGTGAATAATACTACTATGCAACACTGACTACTTATTTTCACTTTCATATTTGTTGTAGGGTCATGGTAGATATGTTTGGGCATTTGGCAACACGATCAGACCTACAAGCACTGGGTCCCAGAAGGTGGATAAGCAACAGGGTACGTGCACCTATTCAAGTTACATCAAAGTGGCCATATATGGAATGTGCCACAATTTTAATTTAATTTTCCTGCTCCTTTATTCTACAGATCATGACTCTGATTGCCCACACCTTGAACGCTGACCAACATGAGAGTGCCTCTGCGGTTAAAAGACACATATTTGATGCAGATTTCACGGTTAGTGCTATCCCCTGTTAATGGATCAATGCTTTAAATTGTGCAATAAAGTTATCGATACAGTTTCTTCACTGACAATTTGCATTGCTGTGCAATTTGCTGTTGTGATAGGCAAGGATGGTGCAGCAACACACAGCATGGCAAGTGGACAAACACCTGAAAGAACTACTTCCCCAACACGTGGGATACAATTTGGCTGAATGTGAATACATATTTGCACCTGTTGTGTTTGCACTGCATTGGTTTTGCTTTGTGTTTGAACCGAGCACACTAAAGTTTTATGTGCTGGACTCTCTGCGTGGTGGTGAGGATACAATGAAGCACCAAAAGAAGAAGAATAAGTCTGATCCAGCATTAAAGGGGCAGCAAATGATGGCGCAAACTTTTGTAAGTGGTGTAATTATTCTGCTACTTTTGTGTTGGACAACCATAGTATCCCCTGTGTGATAATCATCTGTAATTGTGTAGAGGGCACACTTCATTGAAATCCTAAGGAGAGTGAAGCCTGAGCTGGAGGGGTTGGCCAACCCAGATTCAAACAATGACATCTTGTATCCCACGGTTCATGTTCAAGACAATACGTGAGTCTTTTGTTCACTGAAAGTTATTTGTCATAAATTATAATCGACATACATAAGGCAGCATAGTGATGTGTTCATTTTTTCAGTGATGATTGTGGGGTTCATGTCATCACATATCTAAGAGAGTGGCCCAACCCACAAGAGAAGGATGGAGTTCTATTCACCATGCCTTATTATACAGCAGTAGGTGTTGAATTATATATTAATGACATCATGCATTTGTGTCAACTTACTGAGAACAGTTGTTGTTGTCCCATAGGATCAATACACATCTATACGGTGTGAGCTATTGTGGTGGCTCGTGACGCATCAAAGAAACATCAAGTCAGATGCTGTTACCAAACACCTTGACCACATTAACAGACAACGCAAGAGAAAGCGATGACTGATCAAATTCCTACCTTGTAGTTTTTGCTGATAAGCACTGTAATTGTTGTTGTGAACACTGTATGCGGACTAAAATGTTGTGCATACAAACGATGTTAATGAAGACTGTTTTGATGGATTCATATTATCACTACTTGTTTACTTTCATTAGATGTACGGTTAACAACACAAATTAGGGAATTTGCACCAAAAAAACAGGAATTAACACCAAATGTTCGTCCATTTCCAACTGAACAACCTACATCAGGGATTAGACCTTTGCACGAACGATTAGACAATTTGCAAGAGAGACAAATAAGTTAACAACAGAAATTAGAGCATTCACAAGTGTCGTTCATCTGCTGAACAACGTGTCCTCTTAAATATGCAAGTGCCCTCCTTCACCTGAATAAGGTGTCCATTTCCATGAGGAACTAGGGAATTTGCTACTCCGATACATATATTCACAACTGTAATCAGTCCATTTACATGTGCCGTCCTTGACCTGAACAGGGTGCGCATTTGCAAGGGGAACTAGGCAATTTGCTAAACACATACCTATATTCACACGTGGAATCAGTCCGTTCACATGTCGACTGGTCCAGCTGAAGCATGTGTCCGTGAGGGAACAAGTGCGGGAGAGCGCATTTGCAAGGGGAACTAGCCTATTTATAAAATACATACCTATATTCACACGTGGAATCCGTCCGTTCATATTGGCAAGGGGGACTAGCTAATTTGCAAGACACATACTTGGCTTCACATGTGGACTGATTCACCTGATGCATGCGTCTTCCTTAAGTGTGGGAAGCCCATTTACACGTGGGACTAGACAATTCGCACCATACATGCATATTTTCACAACTATAAATAATCCATTTGCATCTGACCTACTCGTACTGAAGGAGGTGTCCGTGGGTGAACAGCTGTGCAAGGGCCCATTTGCAAATGAGATTTGACAATTTACATACATATATTTACAACTAAAAATAGTCCATTTGCATGCGGACTGATTCACCTGGAGAAGCTGTCCAAGTATGGTTTCTTATACCATTTGCAAGTGACATTCGACAATTGGCAACATACATATATATATTCACAACTGTAATCAGTCCATTTACATATGACGACCTTCACCCGAAGAAGCTGTCCGTCAGTGGACAGGCAGGGGAATCTCCGTTTGCAAGTGAGATTACACAATTTGCAACATACATACAAATATTTACAACTAAAAATAGTCCATTTGCATGCGGACTGATTCACCTGGAGAAGCTGTCCAAGTATGGTTTCTTATACCATTTGCAAGTGACATTCGACAATTGGCAACATACATATATATATTCACAACTGTAATCAGTCCATTTACATATGACGACCTTCACACCGAAGAAGCTGTCCGTCAGTGGACAGGCAGGGGAATCTCCGTTTGCAAGTGAGATTACACAATTTGCAACATACATACAAATATTTACAACTAAAAATAGTCCATTTGCATGCGGACTGATTCACCTGGAGAAGCTGTCCAAGTATGGTTTCTTATACCATTTGCAAGTGACATTAGACAATTGGCAACATACATATGTATATATTCACAACTGTAATCAGTCCATTTACATACGATGACCTTCACCCGAAGAAGCTGTCCGTTAGTGGACAGGCAGGGGAATCTCCGTTTGCAAGTGAGATTACACAATTTGCAACATACATACAAATATTTACAACTAAAAATAGTCCATTTGCATGCGGACTGATTCACCTGGAGAAGCTGTCCAAGTATGGTTTCTTATACCATTTGCAAGTGACATTAGACAATTGGCAACATACATATGTATATATTCACAACTGTAATCAGTCCATTTACATACGATGACCTTCACCCGAAGAAGCTGTCCGTTAGTGGACAGGCAGGGGAATCTCCGTTTGCAAGTGACATTACACAATTTGCAACATACATACAAATATTTACAACTAAAAATAGTCCATTTGCATGCGGACTGATTCACCTGGAGAAGCTGTCCAAGTATGGTTTCTTATACCATTTGCAAGTGACATTAGACAATTGGCAACATACATATGTATATATTCACAACTGTAATCAGTCCATTTACATACGATGACCTTCACCCGAAGAAGCTGTCCGTAGTGGACAGGCAGGGGAATCTCCGTTTGCAAGTGACATTACACAATTTGCAACATACATACAAATATTTACAACTAAAAATAGTCCATTCGCATGTGGACAGATTACAGCCTAACATATCCTGCGACAGCTATAGTCACCTACTGTCATGAAATTTTTCAACTATTGACACCACTATACAAAATATAATCGAACCCACCACCAAAAAATCAAAATGGGTTGTCATAGCTACTTCCCCAACAACTCAACAACTACATAGTGGGGCTCATTTATGTACAAAAGTAGCTGTGTGTTGAACCAAAAAAATAAAAGACCATTTTCAGCAACAAAGTCACCCAGGGTTCGGGTTAGTGCAAATCTTTCTAGTGTGACCAGCTTCACCACATCCTGAGCAATGATACGCTTTCTTCTGCTGGAATTGTGATTCAATCCTCCTACCTCTGGGTCTTCCAGCACGCCGAGTTGTCAATGGTGGTTGTAGGAAGATGGTGGACGAGTAATCTTCATATCGAAGGGAATCTGGCCTAGGGATGTCATGGGTCTCAACTGGAATCATGAGTCTGCCATAAATTTTCTTTTGGGCTGAGAGTAAAAAGCAATCCTCGACATATGCATATATATTACCATATACCTTCTTGATTGCAGCACACGCATGTGGGCAAGGTAGTCCTGACATTTGCCAACCTTTGCAGGTACATTCACGTAACACAAGATTTACCCGCACATCTAGGTTTCCCCATCTGACCCTAAAATTGTTCATTCCATAATTTTGCACATCCATTCTTTCTGATCTGGCCACATGATCCATCAACTTTTCCTCTATCTTAGGTCCCACACCATTGCTCCAATTCGTCATGGCTTCTTTGCTGTGGTACATCTTGTTTGCCAATTTTTCCCTGTGCTCATGTATCAAGACAGCTATGTTGTGCTTCCTCTCACCAACAAGCCAAGCATTAAAGGATTCGGCTAGATTTGTTGTGATATTGTCCCACCTCTTGTAAGGAAATTTGCTTTGTGCCCAACGGTCAATGTCTCCATTTGTTTGAAGCCATTGTCCTAATTCTGGACAAAATGCCATTAGCTTTTCCATACTGCAATCAAAGTCTCTATCAAGTCTTGCGTATGCAATAGAATCAAGTAATTTTAGTGCAACTTCCTTTGTCTGTCCGCTGGTCCTCCTCTTTCCCCTGGTTTCTTCAAAAACTCAGCACTGTAATTCTCCTTCACATGACGGTAGCAAAAAGCATGTCGATCTCCTCCAAACACGGCTTGCACTGCACCTTTTATTGAGTTGTGTCTATCCGATACTATTGTCACTTCTAATGAGCCCGTAATATCCTTTATGTTACCAAGAAACCATGCCCAGTCATCAAGCGTCTCACCTCCAACAATCGCATATGCAAGTGGGAATAATTCATTATCCGCGTCATACGCTTGTGCTCCCAATAACGTTCCTTTGTACGGACCACTCAAGTGGCATCCATCCACATATAATACAGGTCTGCCACCTTTCAAAAACCCTTCTACACAGCAACCGTATGCAATAAATACAGCTTGAAATCTATTATCTGATGATGCAACCCACTTTGCTACCGTTTCTGGATCACTTTCCTTCAGCCTTTCACATATCCAAGGGATTAGCATATAAGACTCCTGCGGACAACCATGAATTTTTTCCAATGCTTTCTCTTTCGCCCTATATGCTTGTTGGTAGTTGAGCCTCAACCCATACTCTCTTTCCAAATCCCGTCTAATGTCATTTGGAGCTTTGTGCATGCAAGAAATCAACTCATCTATTATGACTGCTGAAGCAAGTTTGCACCTCTTTCTCTGAGGGACAACTAAGTTGTCTTGTGCATAATGCAAGTGTTCATAGTTAAATCTTCTCACAACTAGGAATCCATTATTCTCACCTACACCATATGCTGAAATTTCCCAGGGACAACCCTCTACACAGCACTTCACAATCATCTTATGCCTATCATTCTTTACGTACCGGTAACCAAACTTGTGTGCAAGGCTATACTTATATAATGCCTCTCTAAAATGTTCAGCACTAACAAAGGTTTGCCCTCTTGACATCAACAAATCTGCCCACTTTGATGAATTCATCACCGCTATTGGGGTTGGCAACGTTTCCATACCTACACTTCCTATCAGTGTTGGCACATCTTGTACGGAAGATATGTTTATGTTGTCTGTGTCTAGATCCAATTCCATTGCAGATACTGACATTCCACAAGGGCCAACCAAATCATCTAACCTGCATAAACAAATACAGCTATTCAGTATTACAGTTCAATTTATCAAAATTGGACATATTCTTTCTTATCCTACACACAATCTTAATAAAACCAGTTGAGAACAACTTACTCTTGTACACTGTCCAGCTGTGACACTTGTGTGAAGTCTTCTCATTCTCACAAACATAAACATGGCCACTACTATTGTTGTACTCAATTACTTGTCCAACACCAATATCGTCAACAAGATCCAAGAATGTATCCCGGTCAAAGCTAACTGTGTACTTCATTTTATATTCACGAGTCCCTGGCCACACATCATGAGCTACCATGCATTGTAGTTCTTCATATGTCATCCCTTCTCTAATCAATCTTCCAGTAATGATGCCCCCTTCATAAATGAATTTCCCTTCTGAGGTCTTTACAAAGTGCCCTCTAACATGAAAGATGCAAAATACTTGTTTCCTACTACTGCTAGCCATTTATCCTCTGCTGCTGCACATCATTCAAGTATGACACAACGTACGTTTACATCAGCAATTTGACAATTGACAACAAGAATTAGTATTTTCACAACATTATATTGCTTTTTCTCGCACACAATCAGAATTACCAAATTTACCATCGTACTATGTATTTTCACCATTCCTCTGCGCGTCTACCTGTCATATAACCCATTCCAGGCCACACACCCATTTCCCTTTCTTTTTCGCCTACCTATGTTCCTTCAGCAGTGCATTATTCTCAATATGCACCCACTTTTGAAAACATCACAAACACCACATCTTTAACAACTTAAAACAGCATCAGCATGAATTTCTCAAACCATAAAACCGTAAGATTTGCAACTCACTCCCAACCTACATGCCCATGCACTTAAATACTCATTTCTTCCTCATTCACCCATCACAACCCACCTGTGCTAACCGAATCACACCAACAAAACCGAAATTTTAACAACAAAATCTTACCTCCCACGCCAACCTGACGCTACTTCCAGAGAACACGCAACACTGTAGGGCACACTTGCGACTTCTCTCTCTTGCACCAACTCTAGCTTGGAGTCCGAAAGACGGCGGAGGGACGGACCGCAAAAGTGAAGCTCCGCCACTGCGTTTTCTCAGCTCATGGTTGTCAGCTATCTCCCTTCCGCACCGGCGCGCTGCATGGGAGAGGCAGGAAATAACGCCATCTCCTCCCTTTCCGTCTTTCTTCCGTCTTTTACACCCGCTGATAATATGTCTCATTTTCGGAGGAAATAAGTCTTCATTAGGGGCAGTGGCGTCATTTCGCTTGTGGAATTAATATCAGATTGGCCCCTTGGTCCTGCAGTGAGATTTCAGAATGTTTTGGGGGCTCTTTGAAATTTTTTGTCTTCTGCGGTCCTACAGTGAAATTTTCCCTTAAAATTAAGATGGCTTGTTAAACTCCGACAATGAACCCCACATAGTGGAAGAGTAGTTTAACCTATGTAAGTTAATTATTTTTTCTAGGGATTAAAAATGTAACTGGGATCTTACTTTCTTTTAATTACCTTTTTAAATCGCCGCTCAAGGAATTGGATTTGCTTGGGAAGTTTCGGAGAAGGTGACAATCGAGATTGTCGGCGGCTTCTTCCTACGCGGCATTATATAGCCGGCTTCTATTGAATTTCCGGCCCAAAAAAAGAAAAAAACTACTTGTGTTTGTATATTGTATTTTTTCCCTGTTTACAAATTTTCGCTTCCTTTTGAAGCATTGAATCTGTATTGGTGGGGAACGAGTTCAATCTACGCTAATTCAACTTTTGACTTTTCTGGGAATCGAAGATTTTGACATCGGTCTGGCTCTGCTAATTTGCAGTGTGCTGCGAGGTGAATCACTTCTCTCACATTTCTGCATTTATTGTCCTGAGTAATTCATATTTTCTTGTTCTTTGCCTGGAGTTGTGCATATTGTTTGAGTTGCATTTGCATTCGGTTCCTGCATGCTTCTCTATATGTTACTTTGGTCTTTATTAGCGTAAGTGGATTCTGAAAGCTTCCAATTCTGTTTCAGGGTTTAGTGACTGGGGGGGCTGGTTTGAATGTTGGATACCTGAATCTGCCCTTGCCCCTTTGGATCTACTTATGGGTTATTATTCATGATTGATGATTGGCACGATAATGGCATGTTGGTTTCCATAGAAGATATGTAATCTGGGATGTCTAGTTTATGAAATAGCAATAATAGATAGAGTCTCTGGGAGACATTTTATCATCTTCTTGTTTAGTAATTGGAACCATAGTTTAGTATAGCTGGAGCAGGTTATGGAACTAACTGGTCATAGGGGTATTATGAATGGGGAGAGTAAGGCCATGGACAATGAACCTTCTGCAAGCATGCCTCTAAGGCCGCGCCAAATCTACCCAACATATCCTGCAGGCTTAGTGAAGAAGACAGCTTACATATTTGACGGCTTAGGGAATTTTTTTAATAAGGAATGGGATCTAGCAGACCTTCATCAAAACAGGAAAAGAGAATCGGAGCTAGTAGATGGAAGAGGGAATGAATTTTCTTGGTACCATGTGGAGCTCCCAAAAGAAAATCAGAAGTTGTCACAGTCTGCACAAGACTTAATTGGTGTTCTTTGCCCACCTTTGAAACTCCAGGATATTCTCTCCCTCGTCAGCAATGGACCCTTTTGTGCACATGTTGATGGGGCACTTGTATTCAGGGTTAATTCTCCTGGTCCTCCCAACAGTGACTTTACATTTAGGATTGCTGCTAGAGTCACAGAAAATTCAGTAATTACTGTGTCTTTGGGGCGTGTTCCCCGATTAGGTTTCTCACGGATGGGAGAGTCTCTTCTTTCTGAGATTCCTAGCGTGGAAATTTCCCCTCATTTTGGAGATCAGCAGAAGCAGGGGAATGGCATTGTGATTAAGGAGCATGTTCTTGAATTCTTATTGACTATGAATCATTCAGAGGAAGCTGACAATCCAGTTCCTAGATCTGTCTCAAACCTTGTCGTTCATATAATTGACACACACGTGGATCAGCTTCAAGATCTTGTGACTAAACTTGAGATGGAGTTGGACTCTGTTGAGCTAGCCTTGGATAAAGGTAATTTCTGTCAATGACATTTTGATCCCAATGTCATTGCCTTCTTTATTTGCGAATATTAGTTGATGAACAGACTTACTAGTACTGATTATCTCATGCAACCAATATGTAGTTGCTGTACATTTCAGCAGAAGTCTTAAGTTTATGCCTTCTGTCACTAACTTCATTTTGGGGTATTCTGCGTAATTAATTCCGTATCTATACTTTTATTTATTTGGAAAGAAAATGGATAAAAACTTAACAAACAAATGACATTATAAAATGTGATCATCAATGTGTCAATTGTCAAGATCTAAATATTTTAGTTCTAACTGGACATCTTAATTTGATCTTTTAAGCAAAAATGTTTTGACTTGACTGATTTTAGGAATCCACAGTGCCTTGGAATGATGCTAAAAGAAACCTTTAACATATGTAACTTCATAGGTCTTACTATTTATTAGTAACAAGGCATCCAAGATCCCAGTCAAGCATATGATTGTCACGAATAATAGGGATCTCTTGCCCCTTACAAAGCATTTGGGAATCTGACATCCTGCTTATATTAGGTTTTAACAACCTATATCCTTAATCAAGAGTCATTTTTCTTGTAACTATCAGTTGTCATACCAAACATGAAGATCTCATATCCTTACACCTTATATCTTCGGATTTTGCAGCCACATAATTGATTATGCTTGATATCAGTGTTTCAAGCAGCTCCTAAGAAAGTTCATTTATCATCCTTTTGTTTTGATGTGATTTACTATTTATCTTCAATATTGTTTTGACATGTTGCAAAAGTATTTTCATCTTGAATGACTTGGGTTTTGATTAATGTAGACTCCAAAAGTTTTCTTTTTTTTGTGTTTTTTGCTTCCATGTTCGTCCCTTAGCACATCCTATTTAAAATTGTGTGGTGGAACTGAATCTGAGATAAACTATTTTGCTTGGTTGCAGGTGGTTTTGCTTTGAAGAAACAAATGCTGGATGATAGAAGATTTCCCAAACTGCATCTGGACTTGCAGCGTCTTCTTCAGGTTGTTCTTTGTTCCCCTTAATTTCTTTACCATTTTTTTTAATCTATTTTGCACACGAAAAGTTACAGTGTTTTTGCCATCCTTTGATAGGCGTATTAGAACTCAATTGGTTATATAGCTTGCTTTTTTGTGTTGGATGGGAAAATGTGAAGTGTGAACCTCGTTTCAGTTTTAATACAATAAAATGTTAGCCCTTTGCCATCTTAAATAATTTTAGCATCAAAATTTTGCCTTGGAACATCTATAAAAAGTCTAGATTCATGGGAGTGGACCATTTCCCTGACCTGGAAGTGAAGCAATTTATTTGCTCTGCTTGATGGTAAGGTAGGATCTTATGTGACGGGGAAGGATTTCTTCCACATTTCTAGTTATAAAAGCAACATTATATGGACAGAGCTACTTTTTGGTTTTGACTTGAATTTAATCAGGTGATTTCTCACGGAGAGCAAGTATTTTTACGAGTCAGAGAAAAATGCTCTTTAAAACCATGGTTTGCCAATGAAGACATTAGCTCTCTTGAAGAGCTAATTGGAAGATTAAAGAGGTTGAAGGAGAATGTCGGATTCATAGTGAATCGTGTAACGGCAATTCAGGCAGGTCTTGACAGCTGGCAGGCTGAGCAAATAAACAGGAAACTTTACTATCTTTCATTCCTTTCAATCATATTCCTCCCATTATCCATCGTTACTGGAGGTTGGCAATCTAACTCTTCTTTTAATTCTATCAATCATATCCATAGGCAATAATGTTGAATGGTTTTGGTTCCCATCCCACTGTCAATGCAGTTTTTGGCATGAATGTTGGAGGAGTTCCTTGGACTGGCCAAAACAATCCCGAGCTTAAGGATGGTTTTCGCAATGTTATCCTGCTCTGTGTTGTTATGGTACTACTTGTGCTACTTTGCTTCCTCTTCCCGGCTCTGTATACCCGTATAGCTGGTGCATGGCGGAAAAAGAACGTTCTGGGAAGAAGCTGGTCAATTAATAGGAAGTCATTTCTCAGAAGACCTCTCCATATTGGAGATCAAGGGAGAGGAGGATACCTTAGGATTTGACGATGAAAGGTTTTGTTCTTTTGAAAAATACCATCCTGGTCACAAAATCTCTTCCTTCTGTTTTCAATAATGTCTCGCGTAGAGGGTGAGTTTCTTTATCACGGGTTTTCAATGACTCTGTTGAAACAAAACAGATAGATGAACTGATGATCAGCTGCCATGTATCTTGTGATAAAAATAATAACAGCTGCCACGTATAGAAGAACCGGAAGCCTCAGAGATGGAGGATTCATGAAACAGATTCTTTGGTTGATGAAAATGTAGACTTGTGATCAAAGTGAGCCTATTCGTTCATTGTTCCTCTCTTGTTCAGGGGAAGGGGATCTATGGATACATCATTTTTTTCTAGATCCTGGCAGCATTTTCTTCCTTGTACAGTGTTTTGTATGAGCTTTATCCAAGCCTCATCCAATGGAAGAACTGTATTTGTTTCTTCACTCTGCCCGTTTGGATTTGCTATTTCCAGGGACGTATGATTATCATTCCATAGGTTTTGTACGGCCTGTGGCGGCTTAAAATGTGCTTGAAGAAGTTGATAATGAGATTATACATCAAAATAACTAGCAGATACAATTGAAGAATGGAGGCAAGTTCATGCTAGGAGATGAAGTAAGGATTTTTGCATTGCATTTAAAATGACCTTAGTACAATATTGAAATAATTTATCAAAGGCACTTTGAGTTTTTGGCCCCTTAGAAAAGAAATTGAAATAAACTAATATCAAACCGTGTGATTAAAACCCAATACTTCTGTTGCCTGTGATCATGAGATTAAAACTAAAGTGATACTTACCTCTAGTCTTTAATATAAAAGCTAATTTGACTTTCAATTTGATTCTAAATATAATATTACAATCCACTTTGTATCTCGTATTTATTTAAAAATAGTCATTGTCGTGGTTGCATAGGTTAAATATTTTATCAAATAGTAGTTCTAACTAATACACTTGATTAACAAGAGTATTTTAGAGAAGACAATACCTATTTATTATTAATAACTAACTTAATTAATTTTTTTAATCTACTTAAATTAATCGATCAATTCTTATATTAAGAACTAGAGGTAGTATCTTATACTTCAAATCCTCAATCACGTGAGACATCTAAGTGCTACATTGCTGTTGAGCATAATTATCATATTGCTCCCAAAATGCAATGTACTCCTCCAATTATTGACAGAAGACCTACTCTTTAGTACAATTTGTATTGGTGATTTTTTTTTTTGAAGTATTATCCTTATTGCGTTAGGGCAATCATGGGAATTAATCTTCAAACATTTTCTTGCGCCAAGAAAATCATATGATGTCAAAATTATAGTGATCGTATAGTACTTAACTACTAGGAAATTTTTTTTATTATTGTAAATAAAATAATATTTTGCCTTCACTTAATATTTGATTGTAAACTCGAGTTTCTTCCTTCCTTTCTCACCACTATTTTATTGGTAATTATAATTTGTTACGTCAGTAGGTACTAATGACATTTGTGATATCGCCGACAATATTTAGGAGACACCAACAAAATATACATGTTAATGAACATTCTAAAATACATCCATACAATACAATCGTCAACGATATAATTAATAAAGAAACATATGTAGTAGGGCATAAAGTCAACAATAACATAAAATAGTTATTCAGTATTTAGTAAAATTGGGATCCCCGACAAAGAGCCTATGAAGATGTGTGTATGTGTTGCTTAAAGGCACATCAGCAATCACAAATAATTGTTGGGTCGCAGCAGCACTCGTCCAAGAGGCAACAACAACACAGAGCTGCTAAGCTGCACAACAAATAATAAAAAATTACTAAATTTTATTTATAATCATAAATATATATGTACTACCTCTGATCCTTAATATAAGAACTAGTTTGACTTTTAATTTAGTCTTAAATATAAAAACCCAATCTATTTTGTCTCTCATATTTATATATATTTTCAAAATAGTCCTTATAGTAATTGCATATGTCAAAGGTTGGGCCAAATGGTAGTTTTAGTTAATACATGATTAGTAAGGATATTTTAGGAAAGATAACACCTAATTATTACAAATAACTAACTCAACAAACTTTCTTAATTTGCTCAAATTAGTTAACTAACTCTTATACTCCTCCGGTTCTTAATATATGATCTAATTGTTGAGTTAATTTTAGTCCTAAATATAAGACCTATTTCTTATATTTATCAATTTCTTCTAAATTACCCTTATAGATCTCCCTTAACCATAATTAAGCAGAAGTGGGTGATAGGATATTAAGAAAAATGACTATGGTATTTTAGAAAAAATATGTCATATTTCTTATAATTAACTAAATTACCTAATTTTTTTAATCTAATCAAATTAGTTAAATGAGTTTTATATTAACAACCAGAAGAGTATTAAATACCGGACGTAGTATCTTTTTGGGCAAAAATATGTGTATCCATCTGTATGTATCCTTTTAAATCACATACCAACCCTCAAGGAATCCACGCTCTGGCCGATTTTTTGGCTGTGGTTGCTCAGCGTAATACTGCGGCGGTGCCGCCACCGGCGGTGGCCCCTGATAAGGACCTAAAACCAGAACACAAAAAAAAGTATTCAGTATTACTCTAATTAACATATACACACTCATGCTGATTTCAATTTCAAATCATTTATGGCTTCGTTATAGAGACAGAAAGATTTAACAGCACAGAATAAAGAAAACTCAAAATTTAAGTAAAAAATAAGAAGAAACTACTTGAAAAGAGAGAGGTTTATATATATCCCATTAGGTTATACCTTGAGGAGGATAAGGGTAGCCATATTTGATCTCACTCATGGCTGCAGCAGGAGGCCTATGAATTGCAGAACTTGACGGTGAGCTTATTGGAAGAGATACAACTTGGGGATGGGTGAAGGAATGGTAGCTTTAGACCCATATATACACACATTCCCACAGGTGTGAAAATATTATAAAGCTTTCTGGTAAAGGAAGATGGAATAGAATCAAGAAGTAGAGGGATTGAACAAGAAAGGTCTGGAATATTATCTACGCGTGTGGAGTATATATATGTGATCTCTTTAAAGTGACTAATTATTATTATTATTATTATTATTATTATTATTATTATCTGATGTGATTATTTATGACAGTAATCTTCCACCCACCCTTCGTCTGCACATGAAGAACATTACTACTAATTTTGACAATAATTGAGTAACTTTCAAAGGTGGATTCTGGAACAAGGGCAAGCAAAGAACATTATTATTACAATTATTATGAGTAGAATAATTAAAGTGGAATTCTTATTTGGAGGGATCTGATTCCCACAATATATATGAATGATATTCATTTCACGGAGTCCACTTGTATTTTTGCTTAGAAGCTTCGTTGAAGGGAGTGGGATGTGAACAGAAAAAGAGAAGAGTCACACGGGGGGTTGTGGGTTGTGTGTAGGTAGAATAAGGTGCCAATCTTAGCCAACTGGCTTTTCAGCCGTAAGTTGGAATATGTTCCTTCCATACCCTCAGAAGTTTTTACACTTCAAATGGAGATCTTGTGTCCCTGCATGTCTCCAAGGAATCCATAGCCCATGGGTACAAAACACTCAAACCTTCGTCCATATCTTTATACTGCATCCGTTTGCCACTCAATATAAAATCTAATTGATTGACTTAAGGAGATTTAAAAAATTATTAAATTGCTTAATTATAGCATATATTATATGATTTCTTTAAATTACTTATGTGGATCATTAAATTATATATCAATTTATAAATAAGACAAATTAGTTTGGAAAAAAACACTAAAAAATAATACTCCGATCCTTACTTCTTTAGGAGTTAGATAACTAATTTGTAAAAAATAGAAAAAGTAGTTAAGTTTATTTTCTTAAAAATGGAAAATTCTTTTAATATATGCAACAAATAGGGAGAGTTTAGAATCAAACTCATCTTTTATAACTGTTACATTTAGGACTAAATAAAGTACTACTTCCAGTCTTTAATATAATAACGAATTTAAAATCTAATTTGGTCCTAAATATAAGATTCCAATCTTTTTTGTCTCTCATATTTATTCATTTTTTCAAATAGTCATTATAGTAGTTAAGCATGTTAAATATTTCATCAAATGGTAGTTTCCACTAATACATATGATTAACAAGAGTATTTTAGGAAAGACAATACCTATTTATTATAGATAACTAATTTAACTAATTTTCTTAATCTACTTAAATCAGTCAAATAACTCTTATATTAAAGATCAAAGCTAGTACTATGTTTGATTCTTAATATAAGACTTCGTTTGACTTTTATTTTGGTCCTAAATATAAAACCTCATTCCATTTTCTCTCTCATATTTATGTATTTTTTTCCTCAAGATAGTCCTTCTAATAATGATAGTTCTAGCCAACACACTTGATTAGCAACGATATTTTAGGAAAGATAACATCAATTTATTATAATTAATTAAATTTATTTTTTTAATCTTCTCAAATTAGTTAACTAACTCTTATATTTAGATTTAGAAGTAGTATGATTTATCAGTTGTAACAATACATTCAAGAAGCCCATTGGCGTAGACTTGATTGATCACTTTGTGTTGATTTCTCCAAGATGCCCATTTTAATTATTTGCATTGAAACCATTCAAGTGGCAAAATTCTTCCTTAACATATGTAATAAATAAGAAGAGTTTAGCAAAATAAAAAATAAAAATTTAGAGATCTGATTAAATCTTATATTCATAACCAAAATAAATATATTTACTAAATTTTGTATTTAAAATTGTAGGAAGTATTATTTATCACCAATACAACTTAACTGAGTGTTTAAGTGGGCCGTTGACATGGATCTTGTTGCTCACTGAGTGATAGGTTACGCAAACTTAAAAAAGATTATATAAAGTAAAAGAGCTATATATATATATATATATATATCTCCCTCTCTACAAAAGGCAATATCTTGTTCAAGTTTTATAAATGGAAAAAGATTTTGTGATGGATTCCTCTTATTTAAGAACTTGGTTTGATAATATTTTTTTAAATAAAAAGGCATACAAAATATTCCGTATCCAAAAGTTATAGTACGCATAAGTGTGAGTAAATATGACATTCTTTTTTTTTTTTTAATAATCGAATACGTAGACTGGGTATCTATAATTCATTAGGTGATTTTAAACTTCAACATTTGATGAAGAAAATGTAGAATAATAAAGATTATATGCATGGAATAAAGCATTACAATCTGACATTTTGCTAATGAATGGACTTTAAATTTTTAATAATTTGCACTAGAGATATACAATTTGAACTTGTCATCTCTCCTAAATTGTTTAAATATTCCTTGTCGCTAATTCATTTAATTTACACCTCATCGATTCCTCATATTTTACAGTCAACGTAGCTATAAATGTTATTCCAACCTCACATTTGTGGCTCATACGCACCATCTTAATAGCTAAGACAGCTAAATTTGTCATCTTTTTTTCACATGAATGATGAAAAAAGGAGATCGAGATTCTTTAAATTGTAGCGTAAGTTATATACAATTTTTTTTATTCTTTAAAATTTGAAAGGACTCCCTAAATGCTTATTTTTGTGTAAATAAACTCTTAATATTTATTATTCCATTATGTTACTAAAAATATAATATTTTACTGCCCAAATAACTCCTTAAATATTTTTTGGTTGACGACCTCTCAAATCTTAAATTATCCTATGCATGCAACCCTTTTTTTCTTTTGACCAGAATCCTATGCATGCAACCCTAGTTCAAGCTTCGGTGGGGTTTTATATAGCTTAGCTAAATAATGTTACATGATAATTTAGGACAGCTCATTCCTTTTCTAATAATTCTCCTAGTTCCAAGAGAAAAGTGATCATTTAGTTTAGTTATTTGGAAGTATAACAAATTTAATCATATATCGTATTTAACTGATTAGGTTAAAAATAATAAAATTTCGGATTTTCTATGATTGAGTAGTTTTGGACTTATCCTGATACAGTTCTCCTAAATTTTTAGGGACAGATTATATTATATTATATATATTGTCATATATTTAAAGAAAGAATGATAAAAAAAAACAAAACTTGTGCATGATATTCATTTTTTATTTTTTATGTCTATACTCTATAATTATTATGCGTCTTTTTCATATGTAATTGTTTTTTTTCCCTTAGAAATTTGTCGCCGTTACTATTATAATTGTAGTTTGTAGAATATATACATATCGACAATCATAGTACTTTTTTTTATAGAAATATTTAATGGAGTTAATCCCATTTGAAATACTATCAAGTATTCAATATCATCACCTCTCCTGACAGGAATTTAAATTTTGGTTCACTGGTCATGAGAAACCAACTTTTTTCATTAAACCCAAACCCAGGGTCAGTCATAGTACATATTAAACCAAAAGGATGCTTATCAGTGGACGAACCTATGACATTGGGTTTAAAGTCAAGGCCCAAATTTAGTTTCCTTTTGGGCCAACTGAGGCCCAAGTATAGGTTAAGCATTGTGGTCCACGTCGTTACAGTCATGTCAAAAAAATAATCATGTTAATAAATAATGAATTATAGAATAAGCCTGTTCTTATACTTTTCTTTTATATAATATATATTGATTATTTTTTATATAATATGTTTTTTTTAATTTGTGATACTTCAATTTAAATTATAAAGGTCTCTATATAGGATAATTTTTTTCCAATCAAATCTGATAAGTTTTAAAATATATAATACTCCTCCGGTCGTTAATATAAGACCCATTTAACTAATTTGATTAGATTAAGAAAATTAGGTAGGTTAGTTAATCATAAGAAAAGTGATACATTTTTCCTAAAACACTATAATCATTTTTCTTAATACCTCATCTCCTCTTCTACTTGATTATGGTTGAGGGAGTATCCATAAGGGTAATTTAGAGAAAATTAATAAATATGAGAAATGAATCCTATATTTAAGACCAAAACCAACTCAATAATTGAGTCTTATATTAAGGACCGGAGGAGTAGCCAATCATAATCAAATCATAGTATAATTTTTGTAAGAGGCAAGTGGCTTATAAATAGTGATAAGATTTAATAGATATGACTTATTTTGAGGTGCATGTTATTTTTGGTTGTATGGGATCTTTTGATATGTCTATTTAATTGGCGTTATGATTTGTCACATCAATAGGTTTTATGCTTGTGATATTACACAAAATTAACGTGTAGAAGACATATACTCAACCGCATAAACCAGTAATTTAGAATATATTCTAATTTGATATAAGAACAATAAGCTATATATCCCGTTTGATTTACTTTCCTCTTGTTAGATACGGATGTTGTGGAATAAAATATGCAAGTGAAAAATGGTTCAAGCCAATGAATATGAGTTCAGGATATAAATTTGTCTAATATCTCATGAAATTGCAGGTTTAAATTTTAGATCTCCGATTTAAAACACAGGAGTTATGAGAATTTATTTTGGTTTTAAGTGTGAGATTTTATATTTTTATATTCATTATTTTTTCTAAATTAATTTATTTAATGTATAAATTAATATATAAAATGTCACATGGCAATATTCTAAAAAAATCATATCACATTTTTTAAAATTAAATTTAAATTTTTTACTATATTTAAATTAATTAATAGCTTTTACGTTAAAAATCAGAAGAATATTAGTAAGGTACGGATTTCATTAGTTGGTAGTGATTTGTAAATATCAATGCAAGTTCCCCCCCCCCCAAAAAAAGCCACGAGACCTACCTGACTTAAAGTTTTCATAACCAATCCGCCAAGATATTTATTTTTTTAATTAAAAAGAGGTAAAAACAAGTTTGAAGCTGTCATGGAACATGCGCAGCATATTTCTTGGATTACAACTTGTTGGTTTAAAAATTGAACCTTTAATGATTACTTCATTAATCACTAATCTCATTCCATGGAACCCACTTAAGGGGCAAACTTT